GAGAAAGAAACATCCATGGCTTGCCCGGAATTCGAACCCAGGACCTTTCTGATGCTAGGACAGTTCCCTGCCCCCTACACAGGCCTGTCGGTGTGGAAAATTATTATTATTTCAATGGCTTTGTTTTAATGAATGACACCTTCAAAATCTGCTCATAACCTAAAATACAGTCTAACCTCGAATTATCGTACTCGCATTTTTCGTTTTCTTGTAAGTAACGTCCTGAACATGGAGTTTCTGGAGTTCGGGCCAAGACGTTCGGAGACTGCCGTTCGAAAACAGGCAAAAAATTTTAGTCAGGTTTTATCTATAGATAAGCTGTAGTAGTAGTAGTAGTGGCAGTAATAGTAGTAAGTAGGTAGGTAGTAGTGGTGGTAGTAGTAGTAGTGGTAGTACTTTATTTACATCGCATTAGAGATTCATAATAGGCTGTTGGCGATGGTCTGGGAAATATCCCTAAGTATGATCCGAAGATATGCCTTTGCAATTTTGATCCGCAGTAGAGAGGATGGCTATCCCGCTTTGATGACCCGACAAGCTTCGCGCGATGTCAAGCACTTTGCTGTAGAAAAGTTAAACGAAAACCGATCTAGCGCACCCTCTGAGCCTTCACAGGTTGATCACTGACCACTTCCAGTGATAGGGGACTTTGGTGATCTACTGGGAACCGTGTTTAACTATAAATCCACTGTGCGACCTTATGAGAAAAGTGAAGATATTCCATCCTTCTCTTTTTGTTATAAACACGTGATTTTGTGATGAATTAATATGTTTTGAAAACAAACTTTCATTTTAATGCACAATTTTTCTAACGCTGCACCAATTGTATTGCAATTTCTTTATCATGTTAAAAAAAATTTGGGAAATATTCTCTTAGATATTATTGGAATTTGACTGGTGCATTTTTAGCAGGAATGATCAAACAAGATTCAGTAAGAACGACGCTTAAGTTTCTAAAAGCCATGGATTGCATTTCATTATTCTTTAAAATTTCAACTTTTTTACTATGGTTTGTTTTTCTAGCACAATTATTTAAAATATTGATAAAAGAAGCATATTTAAATAAAGAGTTATCGGGGTAACCGGTGGAGGTTCTCATGGTAATTCCACCGGTTGGCGGAAGTTCTCATCGGAGTTCTCCGCTAATCGATGGAATTACCATGTTATCGGAACCTCAGTTATCGGAGGTTCTCATGGTATTACATGGCTCCTCTCCATGTAACGCAAATGCGGGTTAATTCCAGCAAAAAGTCCTCCACGAAGGCAAATTTTTCCCAATTTTTGATCCAGGAGTTCCCTTGTCTTCTTCATTGCGTTCAAAATTACAAGGCTACGGAGTTAAACATTAGTAGTGGTAAACTCAAAAAATTGTATCAGCTGTTCAACGACGGTTATAAAATAAAATATAAAATGTAGAAATTTTATAGTTTAAGTTCGGAAGAAAAAAGTGCTCTTCCCAAATTTTCCAAATATTTTAAATAAATAAATGTGTGCATTCATCTTCTTCTTTTTTTTTTTACATTAAAAATATTTTTGGAGTTAATAAAAAAAATTTAAAGTGAATTTTTTCATATTTATTACAAATTTGCTAACTTTCTTTATTATTATTCATAATTTTTCAATTCATTGTCTACATTTTATGTTGAACCACGTTAGTCGTTTTCCGTTCATTCGCGTGTGTACAAGTTTAAAATGTTCCTTGTAAATTTACCTCCAGAGTGTTATCAAAAATATGGGACTGAGGATGAAGAATTGCATTTCATTAGCAAGATACCAAGACCAAGGCATGCACTGCAAAGAAATTTCTTATTAATATTTCAATTTAAAAACATAGCGATAAACATACATTTAAAATATCTGTAATCTAATTAAATTATTGAATAGCAATAATCAGACAAAAAAAGACGCGTTTAGTTTCGTTAAAAAAAAAAAATTAACTTCATTTTTAGAGAAAAAATACAACTTGAATACCTAGAATGTGACAACATTTTAAAGAATGATATAGACAAAAACCACCTAAGCCTTATAAATAAAGATTTTGCGTTGCAAATTTGTGAAATTAAATTCCAAGGTATCCTTTCCAATTTTAAAACTAAGGCACCTTTCATTAAAAGTCAGTCTAAGTTTCATTTTTTTTTATTGGTAATAAGTTCCATAATTTCATCATTAGTTTATAAGTTTCACTCATTCTAAGTTTCGTGGTGCAAATTTAAAATGCTCTTCGCAATATTAAAATTTAATACACGTTTTTAAAGCACAAAAAGCAATATTTTTGACCAATTTTAAATCAGAATTACTCCTTGAATTAAAAATGTGTAACACCATTTTTAAAACACGATAGACATAGAAATTATTAATGCTCTAAAAATATAGGTTGCTTTTTTATTCAAAGTAAAAATTTTTCGATGTGAAGCTGAGTGCTTTTAATCAAATAAGCTGTTTATTCATTTTTTAGCCTCTATTAAATTTATTCGGAAAAATAAGAGTTAATTTCTAAATCTAGAGGAGTCCTGAAATAATTATCAATGCAAAACAAATTTCAACTTTTTGAAATATAATGAAAAATTATCATAGAAACTTTATCATTAAGCCATATTACCTGGTCAAGTAAATCCTGAAAATTACTGATATAAAGGAGGTTCCGCCACCAAGTGTTCTGGCAATGTTCTTCAACTTTAAAGTCAAACCAATACCAAAAAGGTCCTGATCCCATTAAAGGTAAAACGGTAGCAAAAAAAGCCAAGACAATCATATAGATCGGTGTTAATCTACGAAATAAATTTTAAAATAAATATCTATAACGTAACTACTTTATTTTCGCTTAATAATTGAAGAACTTAGGGCAATATAGAGGTAATCCATACTTTATTTTATTTATTTGTTTTATTTATTTATTTATTTATTTATTT